GGACTTTGACATTTCTCACCGTTAATATAGAGCAAAACTGGAAAATATTTACATAAATATGCCATTAAACTGTATTAGAAATTAAGATGGATGGATATTAAGGTCTTGTTTGGGGGGAAGAGACTGACCCGAAATCTGATCTCTGATCTTTGTAACGTCCATGATGCTCCTCTTCTACTTCATCATGACGGACAGATCAACAATGTCACCTTATAATATTGCCTTATACTGATTCCAAACTAGGTAGTACTTGAAAAGATTTTAATGTTTTTATTAAACCTATAAAACAGAAATTACTTTACAATAAAAAATTTATAAAAAAAGCACTCTGAAATGTAATTTCCATGATGTCATTTCCTGATCCTGTTTCCCTTTCTCTTCTTTCTCATAATCTCATATCAAATAAAGGCATAAAGGCAATAAAAAATATATATACGTATATATATATATATATATATATATATATATATATATATATATATATATATATATATATATATATATATATATATATATATATATATATATATATATATATATATATATATATATATATTTTAAATAGAATGACATTTACATTTTAACAATAAATTACATAGCAGGGCTTTCAAAAAATAACTAACTATTTACGCAATGGTGTGTAGTTAACAGCTTATGTAGCTGGAAATAAAAATAAAACTATACTATATAATAATAGGGGTACATTTAGGCAATTTGTGTGAATTGAAGTAAATTTCTACAACAGTGCTCTATACTCATCATCTCACACTTCATAACAATACACCGCTCTTTCCTATTTTCATCCCATCAAGAGTCTCAGGCTATAAAACCAACCAATAACAAACTAAATGCAGTTATAAAATATAAGCTTCTAGCCTATATTTCTCATGCTGTTTCAGTTTGAGCGGAAGCAACTGGGTGAGTCTATTTTTCACCCACAGTATTGATTGCTTTTAGTTTAAAAGTGACTCATTGTAATAATGCCACTTTAATAATGTTAAATCTAACGCTAAATTATATACGGTGTAATACGAGTTAAAAAGGGACAGAATTCTGGTCTGGGGTGGATGAGGGGGTACTTAAGGCAAAGGGCGTACTGTACATACTGTATAAGAAACAATCGGGGAAACCGTTGTAAAGCACTGATCAGTGGAAAAAAACTCTATAAAATGCCATGCGTAAATATATAACTTAAATACAAGTTATATAAAACGTATAGCACAAATGGTTCAATGAAGCACAAAACTATAATGTGGATTACAGACAAAACTCTTAAATGCCAAAGATAATCTACGAGTACATCAACCATTACTATTGAAGAATTTGTTCCTGCATTTAGCAATTATTAAATTGACCTTGGCTTAACCCTTTCCCTAATTAATAGGTGTTAGCCATAAACAGTGAAAATTAAAGGTCACCTTCATAACCACTGATCCGTCATTTCAGCAAGCTTTTTTTAAGGCATGCTTTAATATGAACGATGTTAATCAAATTAAACTTTCGAGCAAACTCCAGGAATGGCGCTGAAAACACTGCACGAACGACACACAGAGCAGCACGTTAAAATTGCTTCTGTGAGCTCAGCAGGGCACTGGGAAAATGGTAAATTTCAGGAGAAATTTAATAAGGAGAAATTGGCTTAAGATTACTCAGCACTTTGCTTCTAGATTAGTCTCCCTCCTACCCTTCAAATTGCACGAGTTGCTTTCAGAGTGATACAACATTGTGACATAATTACATTGTTGAAGGTGAGGCTCAGTAGAAATGGCTCGGTGCTGACACAAGACCATTTTCCAGCACATGCAAATTCACAGACGGCTCACTTTAAAGCCTGTGCTCTTCTTCCATTCGAGGGACTAGTCAAAACAAAACAAAAACGTTTGCATGTAGACAAAAGGTTGCTGATTGCGAACCACAATTAAAACAAAAAGGTCATTGTGACTTTAATCCGAAATCCATCCTCAACAACAGGCATTATGAACTGTACGTACAGTCCTTACAAATCATTCCTAAATCATGCTGGCTTAATTAAGCCGTCTCAATGGGAACGTCCATTGAGAGGATATTGAATAGTTGTCTATTCCAATGTTAAACATATTTTCATAACTACGTGACAAGTGGCAATATCACAGCGAAGTGGTCCTCGGGGTGTAAGCGGCTGCGTCCCACCCGAAATTGGATGAGCGAGCAGAGAAAACGTAAGAAATTAAACTTGAAGCGTTGGTGATAACTCGCCCGCTGTGGTTGTAAACATTTTTGTGCTCTGAGTTCTATCAATAACCTCTCGGTTACAAGGGCCGGTAATTAAAAGGCTAGTGACCTGGAAATAGTGTCCTCGTTCGAAGATCTCCAAATGTCCGCATAAAAAAAATACAACATCAAATTAGAATAGCAATAGCACAAGGCCGAGTCTTCCAGCTATAGATCTATTGATGTTCAAACACACCCTGGGGACACATTGCCATGAAAGTCCTGAGTTCACAGTGTTCCCTGGTTCTGCTGTTCGGAGGGGTCAAAGTCAATCTAAATGTACATTATACACACATACAAAATAGAGACGTATACACAGATACATGCATGTATGAATTATAAATAACACAAACATACTGGGGTCTGAGACCACATGATCGTCAGGTTTTGAACTGATTTCTGGAATCAGCTCGAGCGCTGCCGTCATTAAAGAAAAGGAGGACATGTCAAATAGTAATAAATATTCAAATTCATCATGTTTTTCTCTAAATATTGTTGTTGATAATATAATTAATAAAAAAAATCGAACTAAAAATAAAATAAAAAGTAACTAGAATAAAATAAAATAAACAGATAAATAAATGTTTGGAGAGAGGGAATAGAATTATTATTTATCCTTTTTTAGGAAGCATACTGAAAAAGTCACATTCATGTGGATTACAGGGACCCATTGAACACTATTGACTTCAGTTGGCATGGAGGGGGGAGGTTGACCTATCATGAAACAGTGACACACTAGCATATTAATATTTGATGTGCCAGTAGACCCCTTTGAGAAATCCATTTGAACCACCAAACACACTTTCTACACAACACAAACATGATGCATATCGCTCAGAACCTGCAAATACCTGCAGCTGGATACAGTTTCATTTCATTTCATTCGAAATAACCACATTTCGCCCTGAACATACTGCATATTAAGCCGCATAACCCAGCTGTGAATTATAAATGAAGCTGATCTACTGCTAACGAGAAGCACTGACCGAGGAAAATGCTAAAGATATTGAGAAGTCATAATAAGCCACTGATGTGAACAACACCAGCCGGCATCTATGGATTTTGTCTCCGGTTACCCACACCGGTCATTGAGCTATTTGGCTCGCTTTCCTCTGTCCCTCTACTAGCACCGTCGTAGGCCAAATCCACCTGCCTTTACCATTAATTAGTCCTGACAGAACAAATTTCATTTTAAATAAGAACTATAAGGAAAAGTCGTGACAATACTGGATGTCCGATAAGCACAGCTCTGCTAAGATTTACAATTATCAATAGCGTGCAGAGACAGATGAGTTATCGTGTTATAAAGGACAATGCTGACCTTGCTAAACTTCAATGTAATCAAGATAAAACTAATCTGACCTTTGTGAAGGACTATATTTTATTTTAAAAAATGATCTGCATTTCAGCGCCGAAGTGATCGTCATTTTATGTGACTGATTTTAAAGTTTTAAGACCTGCTGGCAAAACACTCAAATAAGCCGTAAAGTGAGACAGATTACATTCTGCTTCTCGGTTTCCATCACTGCCGCCCCCCAAAATGATTCACTAAAACATCACAATGTCATTTTCGGTGCTGGGTTTAAAAAAAAAAGAAAAGAAAAAACTCAAAAAAGATCAAAATACAGCGTAAGGATTGATTACTATCCAGCACACACTCAGGCCGGTGATCTGATCTGAAAGGGGTTTGTGCCATAGGAGAGATAGTGGTGGGTTATGCATCAAACACACATATTGATTGATACCTAAACTGCTCTGAATTTAGAGTGAATGCATATGTATGCTCACAACACGTTACTTCTCTGGTCGATAAAACTTTCCGATGCATTCCAGTGCTTTAATATTTATGATAACAGCTAAATTAAGTAAAAGCTTTAAAATGCTGGGAGGTAGCATAATTGACAATTCCATTGAAAGTGCAGGAGGGTTTGTCAATATTAATTTTCTGGATCCCAAAGCGTCCCAACTGATGGGTCATTTATCCACACAGCTGGGATCAAGCTCTCTGCAGTCCGATCGACCCCTACCTGACCCTCCAGGGCATGCAACAATGGCCTCGACCCCTGACCCTTAAAAGCAAATGACCTCACCCCATGAAAATCTTTGGACACTGGACTACATGCTGTTCCTAAAACTGAGCAGTCTTTAAAGGGATAGTTTACCCAAAAATGACCACTCTCATCATTTACTCACCTGAAACCTTTATGACTTACTTTAAAAAAAGAAAAGAAAAGAAGATATTTACAGCAGAATGTAAAAGCTGCTCTTTTCCACACAACTGGGAAGTAGATGGTGAACATGTCTGCCAAACCAGCATTTCTGTCATTTTGCCACATAAACCTTTCATATGGCTTCAGGAGATTTATCATATTAACAACTTTTTGATGCATTCATGGCACCTTTTTTGTCCATTTTGGTGCTCAACTGCATCGGTCCACATTTACTTTGGTTGTAAATGAAAGTAAGAGAGCAGCATGAACGTTCTTCAAAACTTCTCTTTATGGGAATATGAAAGGTTTTGGAATGAAATATTTTTAAATATTTAGTGGTACACTGTCCTTTTAACCTGACATTGCAAAAAGGCTCTCTTTACTAAACTGATTCTACTCATGCCTGAAAGAAATAACGAAAAGCATTAAGTTGGTTAAATGTAAGGTCAAAGTCTTGGAATTGAGCCATCTTGTAGCCGTTCTGCCTGTAAAAACGCAATATTTCACATTAGGGTTGAGGAACATACTGATGATACGCACCTTTTTTCTTTAAAAAAGCCTTTCTGGTTGCCAGGGGGCTCTGACGAACTTGCTGGTTTTGTAGAAACCTCACTGCCGTGGCAATCTGTGAAGATGAAAAAAAAAAAAAATCTTACATTTGCAGCGTGAAATGAGCTCATCAGTATAATAGAAAGTCATCAGTAAATTAACTTCACTGGAAAGGAGAGGAAGATTCAGGAATTCTCGCAAGGCGGCTGAATTATTGTACATTTCCAACTCCCCAAGGTATATCATCAGCCAACAACAGGAACTTATAAAATAGCCCTCCCCCTCCCAATAAGTATATGGAGGCCAGACCACCAAACCACTTTAGAGATAAATCTAGGAAATGAGTGAATCAGCAGTTATAAAATTATCCCATCAAGGTTTGCAGAACAAATGGGGTATGGAGTTTAATTTGCCATTATCCTCTTTAAGACAAACTCCTAGCCTTAAGTGAGCAGGGACTGGAAATCTATACTTAATGCTGAAGTGCCCATCTGTATCTAATAACGGCGGAATACCTGGCTAAAAACTTCAGCGATTCTTAAAGAAGAAAATGCATTATGATCAAATCACCTAGGCTGCATGTTGTAATGACTGAGTGTTAATGCACTAGAAAATTAAATATCATCAGAACACGTGTAGTCGGAAGTGCAGCGCCGTTCCCATCGATTCCATCGTGTTTTCCTTCGAGGTGCACCTTGATCTGCCACTTTAGCTTGCTTCTCCTAGAATTAAAAAATGGTCTCCTCCTCAAACACCATTATAGCATGAATTTGAAGTGCGGGCTCTGAAGTGGTGCTTTTAAAGAACAGATAAACATGAAATAACATCTGGAGATAGGGGGAAACGCACACTCAAGGATAAAGCCGAGCCGCCTCGTTATCGCACCTGTGGTCCCTGTGATTCAATTGTAAAAGTCATCCCTCTAATAGGTTGAAAGGTTTTGATTACTGTTCTTTTTCTTTAAGCGGCAAAAGATAAAAAGTGATTGAGCGCGCTGTCTGTGGTAATCCGTTTTAGGTAATGCATTGCATATACTAAAGACCTGTTTCAATCCAAAAGGATTGCATTTTGAAAATAGGCTGAGAAGAATGTGTAATAGTCGGGCCGGCTGTATAATTCTGCGGTGACAAATCAAGACAGAGTGAGTAGGGGACCCGGTTTTCCTTTCAAAAACACATCATATTGATTTCAGCTTCAATTTATGGGGAACAACTTTGACTTTGTTGGATGAAGAAGGAAGACCAAAAGGGGGGCACTGACGATTTGGGGAACGGCATGAGATTATGATTCCGATAATTGGAATAAGCAAGCAGGCAGGCCGCATTTGTCTCCTCAAACATCTGAGGCAGTGTCTGCATAGAACGCAACCTTAGTCACACCTGGTTTCAGAACACATCAGGGACAATGTTTTGAGTTAACATGACCTTTCTGGAAATTTCTGGATCTCCATATCAGTGTCAAAAATGATCCCCTATAGTTAATTTTCAGGAGCTTTTTTTTTTTTTTTTTTACCTTTTTAAGTTGACCATGAACAACAAAAAAACACTATGGGCCAGATTTACTAACAGCTTGTGCTAGCGCAAACCTTCTTTTGGTGTTAAAAAACTGTCAGGATTTACGAAAGTCACAGGGAAAAATTAGCGTCGAAAAGGTGTGGACAGTTATTTTTGCAGCTGACCGTATTGCAAATGCATTTGTAGGAGTTTCCCTTTCACACGCAAAATTTATGGAAGGAGAGTATTTAAATGAATCACGCAAGGTGATTTACTAAGGTTTACGCTAGTCTATTTACTGGTATTTGCGGCATTACTTACCTCCCAAATAAAAAACATGTCTTAAACCAGACGCTTATTTGCGCTGCTCTTGGTAGATTGTGTTGGTCACTATGGAAATGATCCGGCTGCGTTTGTGTTCTTTAATTTGATTGGTGTCAGTAGATCACGTGCATAACTTTCCAGTAAATCTGGTCCATTGTCAAATACTTTAATTTATGAAAATTCTTCATTTTTTTGGAAGAACCCACTCTCCCTCTCTTACTTTTGGTGGCCTGGGCACCCATTAATTTTTTACCATGCTATGTATAAGCTGAAGGCATACTACATTTATTCACCTGGAAAATTGTGACAAGAAAATTGCAAAGTCCACATTGTCAAACTGAAGCACATCCTGCTTCATAAATGAACCAGTTCAGCTCAGCTCAGTTCTGAGAAGTCTTCAAACATGAATCGCAAGTGAAAATCAGCATTTGAATGGATGAGGGTTTGTTGTTGGAGAATCACACAATAAGTGTTTTACAATCCAGAAACCCTCCTTCCCCGCCCTATAAACACCACATAAACTGCATAAACCATCAATTTCTTTATGCACTGCACAAAAATGACATTGCATGTACAGTAAATCACACTTTATAGGAAAAGAACATTCTCAATTGAGTCACTGCCAGCGAAAAAAACAACAGCAGGAATGTTTCATTTAAGATTATAAAGACAAAGGGGTCAAAATCGCAGCTCCTTGGCTTGAAATACGACTCCGTTTTGTGATTGAGACTAGCTTTTACTTGGATGGAAGGGGCACGGCATTCTTGTAAACACTTCTCTAAAAGATGGGATCAAAGTGGGATAACAAATGGGGGCGATGTCCATTTATTTTTCAAGAGTGTTACGTCTGTTCTTCAGGGAGAAGAAAAGTGCTTTTCTTTGCAGATGACACGGTTGCTTTATGCAAGTTCCACCCAGACATCTCAATCAATTATAACCACATTGCACAGATTTTAGTCTTGTCTACTTATTGACGTATAGATCACCCTCGTTGTCGTATAAGGTAGCAGCGCACGATCGTGCTTTTAAGGGGGAGAGCTGTATCACTACATGTCAGTACAAGACACATTTGGTTTGGCAAGCAAAATATTAACTCAAATTAAAAAGGTGGGTGCATGTTTCTTTGCTGAATACCAGTAAATACTCTTTGTTAATCAACCATTATTTTCTAGTGTTTCTTGTAAGGGTAAAATTGCTAATGCACGGAAAGTGCTCCCTGTTCTAACCGATAATCTTTACAAATGAGATAAATGATCAAGTGTCAGGTGCAACCTAAAAAGTGGTGAAAACTCAATCATAGGGGCCGAGGAACATTAAGGGCCACGTCTGGAGACATGCCCGCCGTGAACATGATGACTGCACAAGGTCTTGCAAATCATGCCGTGTTGGTTATTGAGTTTGGATCGGACCGAGTTTTAAAAGAGCACTTTTGCCTCACACTCGCCTTAAATTTGGAGGAGGTGGTCGTTACGCTTAACGTGATGATATTGATCGAGAAGGAAATATAAATGTCCTATTAGGGAAGCCAAATTTTTTGAGCCAACCTCGTATGATACATTCTTTCATCATTTCAGTCTCCTTTAAAACAACTAAAAGTTCAATATCTGGTCTACAAAGGGCGAATTCAGATACAAATCACACCGCATTTTGACAGTCAGTTTAATGTAAAAAAAAGTCCCAGTTTTCCTGATTTTATCCTACTTACCCTAAGAATGTAATTCTAAGAATAACCAGTGAATTCTGAATACTTCTTTCCTATTTTAAGAACATTAAAACGCTTTAGAAATTCTGACCTGTAAGAATTAGAGGAAGTTTTGCTTATAAATGTTACCAGTAGATTTGAGAAGGAAAACTTCCCTTTGCAAACAGGTCAAACAGGGAAATATACATTTGCTCAAGGCAACACACTACAAAAGATTAAATCAGTTGTAGATGGGAGGGAAAAAGGTTTTATTTCAATATCTTGATCGGTGAACGAGACACCAAAAGTGCCTTAAACAGTGTGTTCAGAGGTAGGTATGCAACAAACTTTTTAAAAAAAAACTTCAAGAAAATGTGATTTTTTCCCCTCTTATATATTAGTAAGTATTTATATTGTATAAAAAAATGGCAAAATGTTTGTTTTAAATATAAATAATGCACACCTAAAAGGCAGCTACAGGGGTCTTTTAGAATTGGAGAGTATAGTGAAATACGTACAGTATGTAAATGTGCATATAGTGATACAGTTTTGACATCATATGGATACACACTACTTTAAATATCTTAATACATCAAAAGTGTAAGTAAATATTTAAAATAGCAAATGGTGTCCTAGTTTTTAACCAATAAACAAACACACAGATACACCAAAAAAAAAAAAAAAAAATGTACGGTTGTTTGTTTCAAAATACATGGGACAGTTTATAGATTTCATTCAGTTTTATTAGTAACATAAATCTGCAATAGCTAAAAAAAAAAAAATATATATATATATATATATATATATATATAAAATGTAAGATAAAATTTACTCAAATTTGAAGCTTTGTCACTGCATATGAAGTATGCATGAATAGCTGTGCTTAGCTTTTGTTGAAAATAGAAAATAAAACTAAATCGACAAGGCATTATACCCCGGAGTTCCTTTAAGTCACGTACACAAATTGAAACTTTGTGGAGGGTGGTGTGAAGTCGTGAAACGAAGTTATAGACCAAAAAGAGTGCCTGACTGTATACGAGTTTGATCTTGGGCTACAGGACTGTTGACAGTAATGACCGCTCCGTGAGAAAGGACAAGAGCTACCACAGCAGAAGGTGGGGGCCATCAGTTGGCACTTAAAAGCAAAGGGTAAAGGAAGCTAAAAGGAAATCATTAGCAGGTCTGGGGATCCAGTCTCAGCGTGAATCAATTCATTTCAAATTGCCCTGTACATTTGTGAAGAAGCACCCCTGATATAATAAAGGCCTAATAGACACTGATCCAATTGTGTTAGGTTGGTCTCAGATTCCTACAAAACAATGGTTTCAGGAGAAGAGAGAGGGAGAAAGAGACCGTAGTCGACTTTCTATATTAATTAACCTCTATCATGAATGATTCCATGACATAGATGGATATCTAGGATGCTTTAAGCGCTCCGAGTCGACTCTCTGAAATTGCAATGTGGGTTTCCTTGCAGTCAGATTCCTTTCAACTCCTGAAGGGTTGATGCACAAAATGGTATTTTTCATCTTTTATAATTAGATCTTAAAATGCTCTTCTAATTATGACAACTTCCGC